TTTCATGCACTTTGGGGGCTTGCAAGGTTAAGAAAAGCTTACGGTTTTACCTAATGCAAGCACGTATGTGGAAATACAGTATCATCTTCCGTATCCACTTGAATTCTGTATAAGCACAAAGATTGCTTAATGGTTTTCAGGGTTTTGACACATAACTCATCACTGCAAAAAAGTGATTTAAGCTCCTCCATTAGTGAAGTTTTGTGAGTGGTAGAGGAATGTCAGTCTATCTTTCCTCAACTAAAGTCACTTTATCAGAATTGTCATTGATATGGCTTAGCTGTTATGTAATATCCTGGGATTTCAAAATACTTTGCACATATACTACTCTAAAATGTCTAATCATGCAGATGTTGCCCTTGTAGATTAAGACAATATGATTATCTTTTGCCATACGTTCGTATGTTTAAGTTTTAGTCATAATGACAGTTATGTTTGATGACTTGGAATCTAGATTTTATATTAAAACAATAACAGCAAAAAAGAAAACTCCAACAACCTTAAAGGTAATAAATTGACTACTAAGAAATGCTTACCAGCTTTATACAAGTTTAGTCAGCCAAGAACTGAACAGAGTTAATTAACGGTGCTCTGTCTTTTATAGTCTTCAGGCTTGAATAAATTATTAGGACAAAACTTAAACTGCAATTTCAGTTCTGCAAGGTGCTGGGTTTCTTATAGCTCCAGCCCAACAAGGATTCAGGTTTAGATTTAAAGAAAAGAAGATGTAAGCAGATCTGAATAGCAAATCCAAAACTTGAATCCATGTCTTTTCCTGTTCAAAGCCTCAGAAACCTAAACTCCCCAGTCATGACCCTGATTGCTCTGCTCCTAGGGTCACCTACGCTTTTGCTTCATAACAGCCCCAGCATTTCCAGGTATAAGCAAATAATTTCCCACATCCTGCTTATGCCCAGAGGGGATCAAAAAACTAGACAGATTATCACTCTCATTTCATAGGAGGCTGTAGCGGTTTCAGCCCAGCCGGTAACAAAGGACCACGCCAGCCACTCGCTCACTCCTCCTGCCCCCTCCGGTGGGGTAGGGAGGAGAATTGGAGGAGAGAAAAAGAAAAAAAACCGGAACCTTGAGGGCTGAGATAAGGGCAGTTTACTGGGACAACACAAAAAAAGAGAAGTTACAACAACGGTACTAATGAAAGGATATACAAAAAGAGTGATGCACAGTGCAACTGCTCACCACCCGGAACCCGACGGTCCGCCACTTCCCCCACCGAAAGTCGAGAGAGCTCCCCTGGGCCCGCTCCCCATTTATATACTGAGCATGATGTCACATGGTATGCAATAGCTCCTTGGCCAGTTCAGGTCAGCTGCCGCAGCTATGCCCCCCACCTCCCAGGTTCCTGTAAAAATTAACTCTATCCCAGCTGAACCCAGGACAGAGGCCTAGAAAACGGACAAGCTCTGAGCAACTCTCATACACATTAAGAGGATGTGTATTATTTTTTCTAAAATGTCATTGCAGCTGTTTTTATTTTTTAAATAGTACTCAAATTTTATATCAAAGCCTTGTGATTAGAGTACATAGACAGTGGCCTGCCAGAATCAAATCCCTACATCTCCCACCATCCATTAGTGTGCTAAAATCACTAGCCTGGGTGGATTTATGCCACCCTGCAGCATAAAATGGGAGATTTGTAGACCCAGGGAGAGTGTGATATAGCGTACTGACTAGGATGCCCATTTAGAGAGGAGAATTATCAAGACTCTGCTCCCTGCACCAAGCACTGGCTCTGTATTTTGTATTTCACAGTCAGTGGATGACAAATAACTTGGCTGTGAAAACATTAAACAGTGTTCTCCTTCCTGGCTGAGTGGTTTTAATCCAATAGCTAATAACAAGTAAGTAAATAACCTGTGGACACTGGCGTGGACCCAAAGGCTATCTCTGAACTCTGGTCCTGGAACTGTACCCCAGTGGAAGGCAGAAGGAGAGGAGACTGAAGAGATGCCTCCTGTGAAGCGGGAACATTGCCAATATTCCTAACTGAGAAAAATAAGGCAATAAAAAGACAAGGAATCACTGCACCAATCACTGGGCTACCAAATGCAATACAAATCCAGGCACTGATAGCATCAATTTGGTGTTTGTTTTCCAAACAAAGTGTTTGTTTTCATTTCAAGTGAATGATGCTTAGTCAACCTGTGTAAGGAACCTGCTTTCTTGAATGTGAAGGGTTTTGAAAAAGACTGCAGCCTGCAGCGTTCCTCTTGGAAAACTTCAGGAATGCATAAGAGATTGAGGTTTCATCTCTGAGGCACTTAATCAGGTGATGAATTCTGGGTTTTCATATCCAGTTTGAAGACCACATGTCTTGTACCATGGTGTTTAACTTGTATATGATCAAGTCCTGTATCATATCTAGTCTTTAGGTATACAGTTGGCTTTAGCTTCAGTGAACTGTTGATGTGCAGATAGAGTTAATTGTTGATAAGCAAATACAGGTATTTACATACTTCCTGAGCTGGGGACAGAGCACCTTGGTACTATCCCATCCTATGTGCCTTTTATGTAATTTTATGAATACCCATGGTTGTACATTTGTATGTATACACACATAAATACATAAATATATAGATGAAAAGCCCTACTCTGCTGAAATCAATGGCCACATTTCCTTCAGCTTCAATAGAATGATGGTCTGAATCTATGTGCACTTTACTGCATCTTTTTGCATGATTTACAAGCCATGAGCAGTATATATTATACAGTTTTTTAATTTACTAGATTGTTTTTCTATTTTAAGGAAGATAATAAATTTTTCAAGGGTGAAATACGTTATTTGGTAAAGAGTACTAGTGGAAATTAGACTAAGTGTTCTAGTAACAGCCTCACAAATTCAGTCAGAAATTAATCCAATGTGAATTAGTTCAAAGAGAAGCTGAAATAACTCTGACAATAACAATGATTTTATATTGTGTGCTTTTATATGACATTTAAACACTAACTTCACAAATAAAAAGTGTTTCAATAAATGCTCTCTGTCTTGGGAAATAGATGGCCAGTGAAACACCTTGGATTTCTTGGGATTTTATGGCTGGATTGATGCAGGATTTTGTAGATGTGTCAAGTACCAGAGGAAGAATCTGGAGTCAGATCCCAATTCCATCGGCTTCTAATTTCTTCCTTTGATTTTTTTTTAAAATATAATTTTAGGCAAGTTTTCTTATGCCACTTTCTGGATCTCTAAGATAGGAATAGTAAATTCCTTCCCTTTCAAAAAACATTTTGAGACATGTAAGTAAAAAGTGTTATGTAAGAGCTTTGGATTATTATGGTAATTTAAGAGATAATGAATGTCATCCTACAAAATAACTCGGAAAGTGTTACATGGAATACTAAATGTTTTTTAACTTCTTGAGTTTGAATTGCTGTTCGGTTTCTAAGCCTAGACTGATGCTTTGTTTGAAACTTCTTTTGAAATCATTTCCACCTGTTTAAGCAGTTTTGACTTTGCTGCAGACATGGCACAATAGTTGCATTATAGTGGGTTAGACTGCTTGTCAAATGTAAAACCTAGATTTTCATTTCCTTACATCTTGCTGCTAATGCTGTTCAACTATCCATCAGTTAGATGATTTCCTGTCATGCAAATGGGAGTTGACATGTCTGCCAATCAATTCTATTCCTACAAATTTCCAAGTTTAAGAAATAAAATTTGGTTTTATGCGCTATTTTAAAAGAACAAACTATTTCATGAAATACAAAAAAGCAAATCTTTTGTTTTGTACAGTTCCCATTTTCACTGCTTGTATAACAGTTCACAAGTTCTCTGAATACTGGACACAATGTTGAACTGAAACCCACCTCAGCTATAATATTGTGTACCCTTGTGAACATCAGCAAGAAGAGACTCTTCCCCTGAACACAAGAAAAAGATTTGGAGTTTTACACTTAAGTGCCACTACTCCACATTTTGGGTGCTTACTCTGCCTCTTGCATACTGCACCTAGTTGCAGAAATATCTCCTCTGCTCCTTTCTCCTTAGGCTGGCCTGGTTACAGCCAATAAATAGATATGTATGCAGTCCCTGTTGCAGTATTTAGACCAAAATGAAAACCTTGTATTGGTTCTGCAATCCTCAGATGAATTGCACTCTTAAGATAAATTTTCAAATGTTCTCAAACATTTTATAATTCTGAAGGGAAGCATTCCGACAGCACGCTTTTGCCTGTTTTCCAATGATAGCTACATCTTAATCTGACTTAGGTTTAACGCATTTGGTAAGTGGATGAAAGGCAAGCTGAATGCTTAGACTTAAATGAAGAGAAACAAGAGGTTATGACACCATTTTTCATTAAGAAGATTTACAATTAAACTTTGTGCATATTGATTTAGTTGTGAAATCCTTAGTGGATATAATAAACAAGCTTTAGTCGCATTAAGGCTGAACTGTTCTTGAAAAAAAATCAAGCTCAATCTCTGCAAAAAGCATTGTTATATTTTAAAAGAGAAGAAATGTAAAATACTCAGGGATTTTTATGTCTGCCATTAAAAGAAACAATAAAATTATTCTTAATCACAGTTTTGTTCATTAAAGTGTCCATCAAAAGCTAAAGAAGAATATTTAAGCCTGCATTAGTCAGACTGGCAAGTTTATCTGCTGTTACTGCACGGGATTCATAATATGTACTATTGTATTTTGATTATGTTTTTTTTTATCCAAAGATGACTGAAACCTTTTCCAGGACTTAAGGGGAAGACAGAGAGATATTTAACATCAGCAAATGGATCTGCAATATCTAGTTGAACAACAGAGAAAATACATCAAAAAGCTTAAATTATTGCTTAACAAAGAACACTGACAAACCCGATAAAAGAAATAGAAGATTCCATTTTGATTATGTTTCAAGAAACATTGCTATCACTTTATGCTGCAAACTTTTTTTATAACGCAGCAAAAATATTCTCTTCAAAAGTAGTGTGAAATTCAACAGGAACTTAACTCTTTTAGCCTTCTTGTTATTTATTGCTTCCAGGGGTAAGAAGATTGGACATGATATAGATTTTTTGATCACCAATCCAGGACCAAAAGAAGATGATGAACTTCTGCATAAAGTTGTTGACTTATGGAAAAAGCAGGTATGAACTCAATAACATTTGGCCAGAAAAGACATATTCTAACAGTACTGAATGAAGCCTATGTAGTGCTTAAAGAATGTTGACTCCTTTTACATGACTCCTTTTACATGACTGTAATATTTTAAAATTGGATATTGGTCTATTTGGTTATTAATAATGATGATGTAGGTGCATCCTCCAGCTCTGAATGCTAAAGTTGAAGGTTATATCAGAAGTACTCTACACACATTCTGTTATATCTTACCCTAAGAATATGCAGCTAGTCAGAGGTAAGACATTGAGCTAGGTGGAGTTTTGACTGACACAGCAAAAGTGTTCTTATACTTTGAAACAAAACTGTATTTGCTTGATTTCTCCTTGAGATGGGAGTAGGTTCTTCCAAGGGAAACTACTTCAGGGAGCTCCAGCTTTAAGTGTAGTGGATTTGGGTGACCTCATGGTGTGAGGTGAGCAAGTCTGAAGCTTGGGTACCAAAGGCCTGGAATTCTGGCTTCCTTTCAGCCCATAGATTAGCATTTTTCCTGGCTTCCATTGGAATATTGTCAAAATTGACATAATCTTCCATGATGTCTGGGTTTGGAAGAATGCACACATTTCAGAGAAGAATTTTTCATCTAAGGGTTTTGGGTTTTCTTCTATTCAGCTTTCTTCAGTTTCAAGCAGCTTTACAGTTGGAAGAGTCTGAATTATAACAGGTGCGGGTACCTCAAAATATTCCTAGGTCAGAAATATAGTATGTTGGGAGTAGTAAGCTTTTGTTTCTTCTTCTACCTTTCTAGCCAGCTAAGATATTTTTCAACATTTACTACCTGTACTGTTCAAAGGAATTGAGGACATTTTAACAAGTAAAGGGCCAATTCTCTGTCTGAGGTGAATCACCAAATGCCCCACTGCTAAGTCAAGTCAGCTTTCAGTGCAGATAGCCTGGAGATGATGCTTTTGAACAGATTCTTGAACTATATACTTTAATTAATGTATAATGGGTTAACACATGAAAGATTAAAAACATCCAACCAGACAAAGCTTATCTGATTGTATAAAGTTAACTGTTTTGAGGTGGTCAAAACTTTTCAGTTGGCTTTAATGGAAGGGCTTCAGAATTTTTTTCCTGGTAAAGTACATCCTTAGCTGAATTCCTTTTCCTTCAGTTGGCTTTTGGTCTTTGAAAAGTTAACAGATTATTATTAATATTTAGATTTCTGTGATTTCCATCCTAATTCTGTATGGAAAGTGTATGTATTGAAGTAGATTGCTAGCAGGTATAATTTATCATACTCCAATGAAAAACAATGAAGCTGTGGCAATTAATGAGTCCTGAGGAGCTACTCTATTTTTATCTTTTTATTATTTATGTAAAGTTTCTTTCTCAAACATTCTACTCCCTTTATTCTGGAAAAGTTGCATTTCTTCTTGGAAGCTGTCCTGTTACCTTCTTAAGCAGACCGGAACCACTAGGAAGCCATGTGTGCGTCCTCCAAAAATCATGTTTATTATCACACAGCAGAAAGGAAAAGCAATGACAGGCTGAGGCGAGAGCCTGCCCCAAGTGCAGCCTTTCATTCCTTCTCCCATTCTATCACACTCCACTTACTTACTTACATTAATGAGAACAATGGCTGTGATCTGAGAAGTCTGGCAACTGCTGAAGCTTTTCAGGTCATTCTGAGCTGCTTTCATTAAATGGAATTGAAAGGAAAGAAATAGAAAATAAATTGTTCTTGCTTATTTTATTTTTTTTTTTAAGGATAAAATTTGGCAGAAGTGAGTACAGGGAGAGTATGGGAGGTCAAGGGTGGCCAAGGGTTTGATGAAAAGATTAGGATTCCTCTAGGAATCCCAGCATGGAGAAAATGTCAGAAGGGGAGATGCACAATGGCTGTAAAAACCAAACCCAAAGAAGCTAGGGATTAAAGCTATGGGCAAATATTTTCTGTGTTCTACTTGTCCTCCAGAATTTTTATGGCTTGTTCTACTAGCTATACTGCCTCTCTACTGTGGCAGTTGTAATAGACAGGCTTTTACTGGTGCTACTAAATAATAAGCTGCCAGCAAAATCAAAATGCAAAAAAGGAGAGGAATTACACTCCTATTGCCTTTTTATTACCTTTGCTTTCTAAGGGGGAGGACACGACACAAAAAAAACCCAAACCTAAAGCACTTTTATACTTTTTGACAGTCTATCTGTCGTCTGCTTCACAGCTTTCCACTTTTGTGCTATTGCTTCAAAGCTCAAATTCATCAAAGAACATCACTGAGGTCACGATGTTGACGTCCTTTCAGCAGCTCTTGGTGAAGGATTCTGCAATGTTTAACTTCTAAACTATGGACCTCAGCCTTATTGAAATAGTTTAAGGGGCCTTTTTCTTAGCTGAAAAGTTTAACGTAACAAGATCCTTCCATTGAAAGATGTTGAAAACTTAAGTGGTTAAATCAACACCATCATGCTCTTTGATGCAGCTGCAATGCAGGTTATGGTTTTAATGGTTCCAAAAAGCTTCATAAAGAAAGTAAGAAATTACTTCTGGGCATTAGAGTTTGGTAGTCCATGGCCAAATAGGCCGAGCCATCTGTGTCGATGCAGCTTCATTCACATACTGTGTAAAGACATTCTCATTTTTTGCTTAAAACCTATATAGCTATATTTAGCACAGTTACATATGTACTTTCAACAAAGGAAGAGATACCATTGCTACAGACATTCCTGCACTCTTCATTTTTTCCCTTTGTATTCAGGTAAGTATAATGTTGCATTTTTCTTTTGACTTTTAGGAAAATGAAGAATGTAGATGCCTGCCTGTGCTTACTTATTTTAGTATATTACTGGTCTGTTTTACAATCTATTATTCACCCTTGCTGAAGTGAATAGGTCAGGAAGGGAAAGCCTTGATGTCCCATTAAGGTGGATGGTGAGGAGCAAGTAACCAGTCTCACTTTTTCATTGCTGGAAATATTTTTTTGTAAACAGGGTTCACAGAACAGCAGCACATTCATTATTGAGTGACAGCTGGATTTTAGCAGCAATAAAACCTGTTTCTAAGATACAGAAACGGTTAAAAGGCCAGAACAAAGAGCTTATTTTTTTCAGATGAACGCTCTGCCCATAAGGATGCAGACCTCCTTTGTGAACAGATATTGTCTCACCTTTTGACTCAATGCATTATGAATTTTTGTTGCATTCTGGCTCTGCTTCAGCAGGAGCTGAGGACGTTCTTACCTAAAACAGGCTATTGCATGGTGGTTAGAGCACTGGACATGAGAGAACTTGGCTTAAATCGCTTTAGGCAGAGGATGGGGCTGAATCTGATTGTCCTGCTTATGAGGTTATTGCATAAAATGGGCAGAAGCATTCCATTTCCTGCTATGTTTCATGTGAAGATCCAGGCAGCAGTGGCATTTCTTATGACATCTGATCCTTCTGGTGTGTGTTGTATATCTGTATGTGGGTAAGTATGTATGTATATGTCCCTATCTATCTATCAGTTTATCTTGCTCACCACTGCAAGTGCTCATGGCATAGAGAGAGAGAAACATCTTCATTCCTGGATTCCAGTGCTGGTCTGTCCATTGCTGTTAAAACCAGGCTGTTCAGGACATGCCCAGAATTAGACCATTCTGATGTACAGGGAACTTCAAGATGAAAAAGGGGCCAAGGCAGCTGCATGGTTATGCAGCAGCTGCAAAGCTTTGTATTGCTGATCAAACCTTTGATGCCATTTGCTAATGATTCCTCACCCTAACAGGTCTGACTGCTCCCAGGCATAAGTTCTTTGAGCTGTTCCACTTTATAGAATTCCATGTGCCTCACCTAGGTATTGATTTTTCTCAACTAACATGCCTAGATCCTATTTTGGATTAGCTATAGGTATTTCACTGAAAAAAATCCAGTTTCACTTTATTAAACCATCTCAGAAGGAAATTAAGAGCAACAACATATATACATTTCAGAAAAACATACTGGTTTACATCTTCAGTCGGTATAAAATGGTCCTACTTAGCTTTAACAGAATTAATCCAGCTACCAACAATTGAATAATGACAGCTTGTAGCATTAAAAATAGGATAGGATTTCATTTAATTAAAAATGACAAAGAATGCTAATGACCATATTTGGATTGATTTTTCAGCTGTTGATTTCATATTTTTCTAGAAATTCACACTTTTCCTCAGTTTGATCATGGATTTACTCCAATATCAATGCTATTGATGTGCCAGCACCCAGTCTATTTAAGTAAAAGTGTATAATCATTCTTAAAAGGGAAAATTGTTGTGGATATTAACATAACTGCCCTAAAAACATACATTTGGTTTTGATGATGTTGTAAATTTGTGAAATGAAAATGCCCACATTTTAAAACGATTGTGTAAACAAAGTCTACAGCACTTTATGGTGTATAGATCAAGCTGAAATTTGCAAAGAACTGCAGATTCCCTGGCACAGAGTAATGAGAAGGCTGCTCTTTTGCACCTAGTAGTAGCCAGAGCTTCACACAATCTTCATAGCTGACTGCCCTTTCAGGCAATACTTTTCCAAAATGTACAGAAGTGCCATTTCAGCTTTACTTTATGGGGTGATGGTGATGTCCAGTGCCTAATCAAATTAGGTTAATTGGAAACATTATCCCAATGGATATGACCTAAGCTTTGGCTCCTATTTAAAGGCAATATCCTGACTTTGAATCAGGTGTCAATTGCTTGTTGAATTCAGCACTTGTGTAATTGTTGCCTAATTGCATTTTTTTAAAGTTGAAGCAGATATTTACAGTGGTCTACATCCTCTCATGCTCTTCCTATTAGCTTTAGAAATTGCCCAGCCAACAAACTATGAAAAAACGCTACAGAGTAACCCAGAGAGAGGTAGTCCTAAAACATCTTCCTAGTCACACTTGCTAACTGTGGCCATCTGCAAATACTTAAAATGTATTCAGGTAGAAGACATGGCCTAGTCAGCAAGGGAAAACAGCAGTAGGAAGGCTCCAATACTGATTTGGTGTAACTTCTTCTTGATTGCTTGTTGTTAAATCTCAGGGACCCCAAGGAGTGTTCCCTTGAAGTTCGTAAGTATGAAAATAGGATGAGGGAAACAAAAGAGAGAAGAGATCCATCTCTAAATGCTGTGGTTTAACAGGCAGAATTTGTACTCTTCAAGCAACTGAGAGATCTCAAAGGGAGGACCTTTAGTAAGTGTGGTATCCAGGATGACTTTAGGTAAAGAGAATTTCTTCATTTTTAATACGGGCAATGCAGCAAAAACTGACACGTTAAATTTACCCTGTTTCATTTACTACTATATATTCCTGTAATGAATAGCAAGCTGGAAAAAATGACTGAAAACTAAGTAAAGTTGATGCAGAAGAGATCATCTGTAAGGTGATAACACAGCTAAGCATTAGAATGAAAATACTGATGAAGCAGTGATTACAATGTATGACTAAAAGTTAAAAATGAACGTCTTAAAAGGCCTGAGCATTTTATGTCAAGGCCATTTTATCTATTACAGATACACAGGTAATACATAATCATATCTCCTCAAGAGCTTACAGGCTAAAAATCCAAGTATGGGGTACTAGTGGCCATGTGTGACTGTCCCCAGATCTCACTGAGACAAAACAGTCTCTAGGTGCTTGTCTGCTTGCCCCTAGAGAGAGAAACCACTGCAGGCTGTGATATCTTGCTGGATTTCTCAAGTGATCAGAAACAAAACTCCTTCTAAGACTTCCTATCTACAGTAGGAATTCCATTCCTTTTGTAGTCCACCTAAAGATGGGATTTAATTCCTGATTTCTTGCACCAAAACTGAGGAGATTTCAACTTCACTTGAACAAAGAGGACACAAACACTTATATAGATGGTGGCAAATGTGCAAAATTGGTGATCCGAGCACACCGTCTACAAACACCATACAGGTACTGGAAATGTAGTTACTTGGAACTGTAAAATAAGACTTTACCAAAACTTAATGTAGTTGGAACTGTAAAATAAGACTTTACCAAAACTTAATCTAGTTAGGATTCTGCCTAGGGACATAAATTATTTAGATTCATTCCGGGACATGCTCTGTAATGCCTCAAATCTCAAAGACCAAAAAGGAAAATGAAGCAAAAGATGAGAAAGTGCTGATGAAGTAGCTAGAAGATTTTTATAGAGAATGGGAAGAATGTCAGTGCTTAATCAAAGCTTGAAGTCATCAATTAATGGTCAATGATCAATGAGATTAAAAGCTTTTTTTAGCATTAAAAGCAACAAAATTAACCTGAAGGCAGGCACAGTTTCATCAAAAAGAGAGAGATAATAAGCAGTTATGTGTTAACATTCAACAGCTGTTTTGAGTCTATATTTGGAAATAGCAGGCATCAGTGCCTTGTGACGTTGGGGTAAAATTAAGAAAAAATTACTATCTGTTTTAAAGATAGATGTGAGAGAATACCTGCTAAAATTAAGCATTTTCAAATCAGCAGACTTGGAAACTAGTAATTCAAGAGAAAGAGCTACATAAGGAGTTTTCTCATATTAGTTTATAATAAATCTTGAAAATCAGGAAAAAAATCCAAAGAAGTGAAAGAACGTCAATGCAAGTCAAAGAGTTATCATTAAAAAAGTTGGCCCAGTGATCCATAAACAACCTGTGACTGATTCCCAGTAAAATAATGGGATTGTTAATTTGGAACTATCATCAACAAAAACCTGGAGGCTGAAAATATAATAATACCTATCAGTGTCTCTTCATGGAAATCAAAACTTGTTAAGTGTTTTTGTTATGCTTTTTTTTGGCCAGAATTATAGCTCTGAGCAATAAAAGTAATTTATTGTTGTAAAGTATTCTCCAAGGTATTGAACATATTATCATGTAAAGTTACCACACTTGCACTATATAAAAGAAATAATCAAAACCTGGTGTTTAATATGGAGATATTCTTCCAAAAATCAGTTCATTGTCCCCTGTGTTCGTAAGAGATCTGACCTGGAGACCATTGTAGTTAACCATCGACAGCCATCAAATAAAACCACTTCTATACATGCTTAGCTCAGTATTGCAATTTAAAAAAAAAACACAACACAAAACTAATATGGTTCTTTACCATATATTAAGGGATGTGTTAACTAAAAGTCAGGAGGCATTCTTGATCATGCTTTTTTTATGGTGAGACTAGTATAAGAATTCCTAGTCCAGAGGAAGGAGAATGTGTAAACATTCGAGGCACTTGAAAAGGAGAGACAAAAAATTGATTCAAGGACCTAAAGAAATCCTGATGATGGAAATTTTAAGAAACTGAGTCTATTCATCTCATCAGTGAGAAATCTGAGAAGTGGGTTTGATCGATGTGTAGGTTTAAAGAAATGTAAAAGGAGATATGAAAAGACATGTGACAGTTGTAGGCTTGTTGATCTTGAAGATGAAAACTAATGAGCTTATTTAGTCAGAACATGAAGTTAGTAAGTTCAGCTTAGTAGTTTTCCTTCTAGTAATAACAATTAAACACCTGATAGACTATGAAGAAAGTGATTTATGCACTGTTGTTGCTAACCTTTGTAACAAAGTTAAATTTCTTTTGCAAAGGCAATTCTCAGAAGTCTCTACTTTCTGTGAAATCAGGAGCTCAGATGAGGCAGTCACAGTGGTCTTCTATATTTTATGACTCTATAAAAGCTAAATTAAGGGTGAGTGTACCAGGACTTAGGCACACATCTAAGTGTTTTTGTCATGTGGAACCAATCTCAGAAAGCGGAATCTTTTTGCCAGCTGAGCCCTTCTGCTAGAGATGGCTTCAGTGACACTGAGCATTGTCGTATTATTATGTATCAAGCTCCATTTCTATTCTGAAGACTCAAGGATGAGGAAGGAAGCAGTGTGATGGAAAGTATCTGCTTTATTTCTTTGCTATTGTGTATTTGATTGTGTATTCTTTAAAAAGGATGTGCCGGGCAGCAGAGAGAGGGAGGCTGCTCCTTGTCTTGTCCCAGGTGCTGTGCTTCGGGTGATGAGAGGTTTTCTGGCTGGTGAGGCGAGATTGCGCTTTACCTGAGGGCAGCTGAACATGCAGAGCTGTAAGAAGCTTTGGGAGTGCAGGGTAAATCTGAGCTGTCCAGGAAATCAGTAGCCTTGGAAGCTGCCTAGAAATGCAAAGAACAGGCACAGAGACAGGCCAGAGGAATGACAGAAAGATGCTTTTCCTAAGGGCCTAGAAGGGATAGTGCAGAGTTCGCTGCAACCCCAGGAGCCATTGAAAGGTTGCTGGCTACAGAGCAAGGCTGGAAGAAAGCACGACCTCTTTCCACCCAACCCTTCCTACTGTGCTGGATTAGAAGGAATTAATTTACAATGCTCCATTACTTCAATTTTTCTTACTCTGAATGTTCTTTATTATAAAAAGAAAATCTTGTTTTTATTTTAATAAAACCTGTTTCTTGAGGATCTACATTTTTTTGGTGCACTCCCTTCAAACAGAAGGCATGGGCAGGGCCCTTCCATCTCTCTGGAGACTCCAGACCTTGTCACAAGGAAATCTCACACAACAGACACAGTCCAAATGCTCTGTTCGGCATCTGTCAGCAAGACTGTGCTTCGGACTAATCTGTTTTTCTAGATGTCTGCCATGTGGGAAAGCATCAATCCCTACACAGAAGTTTCTGTTGACATAACTATAAAAGGCTTAGGAGGAAAGGATGGAGGGGAAGAATTGCAAATATTGTCTCCTTAGTACAGGGCAGGACATAGCCACTATCAGATGACTACCACTGCACATTTCCCTCAAAGGGTCTGCTAATATTTTTCAAAAAGCCACAGCTGTTTCATGTCTCTGCTTAGCCCAGATTTGGCCGGGCACAGTTCTGTGTTTACTGAAACTGCATTTTCCATGAATTTTTAAGACAACTGCCAAGAAACTCTGGAATTACAGTAAAACCAGTCCAGCAATTCAATGTGAGCAATGTCTTCTCTTTAGGGCTTACTTCTATATTGTGATATCATTGAATCAACATTTGTAAAGGAACAGCTACCAAGCAGAAAAGTTGACGCCATGGATCATTTTCAGAAGTGTTTTGCAATTTTAAAATTGTATCAGCCAAGAGTAGACAACAGCAGTTACAACATGTCAAAAAAATTTGATATGGCAGAAGTCAAAGACTGGAAGGCAATCCGTGTGGACCTGGTCATAACCCCCTTTGAGCAATATGCGTATGCTCTTTTAGGCTGGACAGGCTCCAGGGTAAGTAACCACAACAGTCGGTGTTTTCTCAGCATTTCTAACCTATTTTTGCTGTTGCTGGACCATTCAGAGTTCATGGATATTTAAAAAATGTTCCTTCTCTCCACATGTCACATTTCATGCTGTCATCAACCTGTGATCGTAGGTTGGAGTTGATGAACTCATCACTGACATTTATGGATATCTCTCTAGAGGAGTTAACATCTATTTTCCTTGAAGCTTAGTATTTAGGGTCATGGACTGAAGAGCTAGATTTTCAGTCAGTTGTGTTGTCTTTTTACATCATGCTAGTGTTAACAAGCAATTTAAATGGTTACTGAGTAGAGAGATGATTAGGAAAGTGTCACAGAATTTTACAGGAAATTAAACATTTGAGGAAGAGATGTTCTGAATTGGAACTTAATTTGTTTTGTAGGAAATTGAAAACAATTTTACATGTTTCTTTTTGGATTAGATAAAATGTTTTGTTTCAGTTGTATTTTGAGTGTTTTAAATTGTAAAATATTGGAAAATTTTAGAATTTACACATTAGTTTTGAACTAGAATAAAATATGTTTTGTTTGATATTTTACTAATTGAAGAAAACTTGAAATGATAGCTACTTTCACAATAGACACAGTGGGTATAATATAAAATAGTACAGTATTTTCAAAATAAAGAATTCTATCTAAATGCAAACTCAAAACTCAAATGATTAGTCTCTCTCCAAACAGAATTATTTTTTAATCTGTTCTACATGCTTGCCTTCTGATGTTCATTTTCTTAGGAAGTGATTACATGGTATAATGGAGAGCTGCTGAGCCTGCTCTGAACACTCTTTTTGATGTGCTAGAAGCAGTACAGGTGCATTGCCACTCTGTTCTACTCAGGTTAATTGGAAGCAGGATGTTATAGACTAGGCAAAATGTTGCAATTGATGTGTTCTCCTGCTGAGCTGATGAGTTACTTCAGTCACTTTTCTTTTTTGAGATAATAAAATGTATTTATTTGGACCCTGGATAAGTTCTGCAGACTTTGGGGTCCTTCTTATCCTGGAAGCATTTGGCTACTTAAAAGCCCTTCTCTCAGCTCCGTAGGTGGGTGTCTACACTAAAAATGCACTTTGTGAGGCCCTTTGGTTGAGTAGGCAATGACTCCATCTTTCTCTGCCTCACTCATCTCCTACTCCCTGTTGAGATAATTCACCTACAGAGTGTGGGAGCCCATCACAGGCTTACTTTGTCGCACAGTGCCCAACTATTCTTGGACTAACCAACGGAAATGATGGACCATTGCCTATCAAAATATTGTCCTTTCAAATGATCAATTTTTTTCAGGCTGTAGTCTTTTAATAGAGGTAATTTTTACATGTTAGTTTATTATTTGGTTTGGTGTTGGAACTCTTATACAAAGGATAACAATTTTGGTTTGTCAGAATTGCTGGTATTTGCTATATCTTTTACAGCAATTTGGACGTGATTTGCGGAGGTATGCTACTCACGAAAGGAAGATGATATTGGATAACCATTCCTTATATGACAGGAGAAAGGTACTGTTTATTCTTAGAAATAAAGCTATTTTGTTTTTATTTCCGAGTCTACATTTTCAGTTTATTTTTTATATTTAAGTGTATAGAATATTTTAGCTTGATTCTCTATCTATTGTGTGGTAAAACAGTCTCACCTTCGCAAGATTTAGTTTCACTGACAGAGCCTGATTAAATCTGAACAAGTAAGTCCAGAAATCTTTTTTGGCATTGCTGAGGTAATTTCTGAAATATAACAAGAAACATACATTAGACAATGGTGTTTGGAAGGAACTGTGCAACCTTCACAAAACTGAGAGCACCTCATCTGCAAGTATTTGAAAAAAGTCTTTTATTGTCCTGTTTCAGAATGAAAGGTCATTTCTGTGTCCCAGGCACAATTTCAACAGGGATTGTGCTGACATTTCGAAGGAAGAAGGGATATTGAGTGGTACAGGCTCAGCTAGAAGGCCTGAGGAAGTTTTTGTAGGGTATCATACTAAGTGGAGATCAGGGATCATCCTGCTTCTAAAGCCCTGCATTCAGAATTCTATGTGGAGTTCTGTTTAGTCAGGCTTGCCAGTCTTGGTAGTAATTGGTAGTATTTCTGGTCTAAATGCTCTTGGCTGCAGTTATACTGATCTCTGCATTTATCTGGCTTAATGTCTGTATTTGTATTAGGCCATTTTAATAATAAACAAAAATCAATATTGAAGATGTTTATTGATGTCATTATAGGGGAAGGCAAAAGTACCATGTCAAGATTTTACATTAATCTTTCCTATATATTTGTTATAGAACAGAGACTGCTTTTAGCATCTCTACTTACATGCAGCATTGTCTCATTGTTTGTCTGTGAGATGCAGCTGTGATCTAAGCCCTCACTCCATTTCAGCTGCCTCCATATGTGCTTGTCAGGCTCAGATGCTATAGCATCCTCAGTTCACATAGAAACCTGGGGAAATGATCAGACTAATGATCCATTTAGTCAAATATCCTGTCTCCAACAATTGTCAATACTAGATGCTTCAGAAGAAAATATATAATCGCATAATAGATAAATATGCTATCAGACGTCTAAGGGGGGAAGTTGCTTCATTAACTCAGGGATGACGTCAGTGTCTTTCTGCCTGTTTTTTATATTTTGAAAACATTCAAAACATAAACTCTTTGCCTCAACATAATATAGCAAATGTTATTATCTGCAAGTTAATATGTGCTCTGTTAAATAGCTTTTTGGGTGCAACAGATAACTGCACTAGGGAAATACAAAGAATTTAAGAAATGCCAGTGTTATTTTTTGTGTGTAGCAAAATTTTCCTGCCTGGTGTACAAGGATCTATCATTATATCTGCTGCTTTTATGCAGAACACTGAGGTGTTCAGTGATGCAAAATGGACACTGTTCATTCACAAACAGCATCAATCAGTATAATTTTTTCTTTATTGTGTTTAGGCTTTACATACTATTCAAAACCTTCTGGGAAAGAAAATGTGAGTTTCCATGTGTATTTCACTGGACTAGCCAGGATGTTTCACAGATAAATGATGAGTTTATCTTCACAATACCCTCTGGGAAGAAAGATGCTCTTCGCAAATTTTCAAGTAAAGAACTGAGGCAGAGAAAGATTTAAGGCCCTAAAAATCCACTGATTTGAAGGGCCCCCTGTTTGCAGTGTCTGGCCTGAATTTTCTCTTGTTGAATATCTGCCTCAGGACTTTGAAAAATACATAGAAATGTGTATATCCATGACATGTTTCCCAAAGCCATCAGCTGTAGCTGTAACTGAATCTCTCGACCTTCTATAAGGCTGAGTCTCAACTTACATTTCCCCACTGCACTGCCCCAAACTGAAGAAACAGCATTAGTGAGAGGATTGAGAAGCAAGACTTACAAAATTTTTCTTATTACTTATAATAATGCAGGAATTCTATGACAAGGGCAAGGAAAAAACAAAACAAAACAAACCTTCAGGGCAAATTTCAACTGTCTTGACCATGAAGTCTAGGACTTCCATATATCAAATGAAGGACATGAATGGATCAATTGTCCCTTTTTGTGGAGGCACTCTGCTTTTGAGTCTGTCCATCATTGTCCACAATAATATCTAAGTCTCCCTTTTCTCATTTAATCCCAGACACAGCCAGTTTACTTCCAAATTTTATTTTCTGCTGCAAAACACAGATGTACTACAGATTTCAAAACAAGAAGTCATGTTAATCTGTTGACACGGCAGAATACTGTTCTTGTCTCTGCTGCATTCTCAGAAATAGCTAAATTACATCAGCTGAAATTTTCCATAAAAAAGAAAATTCTAAGACAGATATGTAACATGAAAAATTTTAGACCAGGCAGCACTGAAGTTATAATCTACTTAAAACAGGGTCTTTTATCAAGTAGTATCATTCTAACAAGAAGCAGGGAGACACCCCTCGCCCTTCTAAGTATTCTACTATTTATAATCTAATGTGTTAAATTAAAATAATTTTTTTCTTATTTTAACTTTGCAATTTTTTATTGTTATTCCCATAAAGGGCATTTTGAACAAAAAGCCTTCCACACTGCCACCCAGTGTGTAATAAAGTCACGAATGTGCATAATACAGCAATGGTGTCTATAACTGTGAAACTTGAGATGATGACCCATAGTGGAAGAGGACAAATTTGCAGTAAGTTGTGTGGCTGCCAAGGTTGATTAATTTTTAGAGACATCAGGTTAGTAAGCTTAAAATCAGTGATTACAATAATTAGTAACTTTAGTGCTGTTTCAGGGAACATATACCCAAATCGTGAAATGTTTAGGGTTTTTTTTTTTCTTAATTTAATTATGAAGACTAGAGTATCTTTACTGTAATTCTAGTGCTTTTATTTAAAAAACATTTGACTCAGGGGGGAACACTAAAAACATGGATGTTTTATCTGTACCATCTCTTAAATTTAGATTGGAACATGAGCGTATGTATTTAATAAGGACATTTTTCTTTGTGGTAAGAAATCTTCCTTTCTCAAAGGAGAGCTTTCTCAAAGCTAAAAACAATCAGGAAGCAGATATCCCTTGTGCAAGCTGATCAAGATCCCTCAGTACAACCTTAATTAAGGTTAATTAGGCACCATAGGTAAAAACTGAATCATCTTTTCCATATTTCTCTCCTTGTTTGCTGAAGAGAGGTTACCTGATATCACTGGCTCTGTCTAGGCAGACAAGCTTTCATGCACAACTCTGGAACACTCACTGGGGTATAATTCAGGAGCTGGGCCAAATCTGTTCTGCTTCGTCCTTCTTTTATTACTCTGTGTGCGTGTACAGCAAAAGGGATGGAAAGGTCAGGGAGAGTCAAACTAATTCTCGATCCTGATGAAGATCAAATCCTTTCTTTAAAAACACTTGCCTGTTGTCATTTAAAATTTTGCAAGCTGGTATAAGTTAATAAACCATGCTGTAGCAGATATACTTTGATTATTATTTTTTTTGATGGAAGGTAACAGTGCCTCTAACAGATTGTATTTCATTATAAAAGACAACAGTTTCCTGGTTTACTCTATGTTCCAATATATAATTTGGTATACTTTATTCTTCTATATTAATATTTATCAGCCCTTTGGCACTGAAGCTTCCTCTGTGGCCCACTGTCTGAAATGTGATGCATGTCAGAGAATCCCAGATTCACACTTTCAAGGGTTTGTATCAGGAGAGAGTCCTGGTTACTTTAGTGTATTTCCAAAGGGATTCTGACAGGAATAGGGAGCATTAACACAGCAGTTAGGAATCAATTACATAGCTTTGCAGAGGGGAACAAAAGGAACAGATATTTCCTCCAGGGACTTGTTACAAAGTTACACTGTGAAATTATTCCTCAGCCTTGATTTTTTTTTTTCCTAGTGTGAATCTTTTTTATATATTTGTGGAGTTTAGAAGACAGCGTGCAACTATCAAACTAATTGTTTTTTCAGTTCTGTAATAAAAAGGTCATTTTGTAGCTCTTCCTTTGGTAGGAAAATTGTGACAACAAAAATTGCAAATTTACTACCAATTATCTGTCAGCCTCTTTTTCATAAAAAGATGAGTGGATGTCCAAATCTGTGCCTCTTTAGAACTGTGTCCTAAAGCTATGGAAATCAGCACTTGTATATACCAACTTGAAGTCTGAAGTTTCTGTGATTTACATCAGCTGGAGATCAAACCTTACAATGATTCCCACAGTTACAGAATGAAGAAGTTCATGGATCAGCCATCAGGAAGAAAAAGAAATTTTATATTCCCTGTGTCTTACTGCTGTTGCCCTGGTTACAAATGGCACGACACATTTATGAACCAGGCCAATAACATTCTCACTGTAAAACTTTCCTGATTCATGAATGAACAATATGCTCTCTAAGTAAAGTAGAAGTGCTTTTGCAAAGAAGAATTTAATTTTTCTGTGTGAACCATAAGTCAGGTCACCTGAAGAATAGGCTCTTCCATAGAAAAAATAAGGTCTTTAAGTTGGAAACCATGGCATCACTGGTTGTTTTTACACCCCTCTGCATTGGATTGGGGGTCATTTATCGCTTAATCCACTATAAAGAACTTCTGGTTACAACATGCGTTGTGTCTAGACTTAATCAGGAGCTAACAGAAGTGTAAGCACTGACCTTAGTTAGGTATTTATGTAACGCAGTCATCAGTTCTCTGTCTGAACTGCAGTTTTTAGTGTGCATGTATATATGCAGTTCGCTACATACGGAGATTTGAAGGGCACTTTCTTTGCAATGATTAAAAGTTTGTGATGTACTAGGGCAGTCGTTAGCAAGTTTTAACTGGGTGAAATGGAGAGAGATCTAGTGGATCTAACTAAAGAAGATACAGCTCTAAACCCTGTTTTAGTTTTAAACAACTGTCTTTAAGCTGAATAACTATCATCTGCTTGCATGAGAATGCAATAAAAGTGTGAATTACTTTCACTTTAATGTTTTATTATTTTTAAAGTGATTTTTAAAGTGGCTGGCAAACCACAGGGTTTCTATTCTTAAAGGAGTAGCTGTCCT